CAGATTATTTAACATTATCTCTTTCGTGGTAAGTTTTCCGTTACTTTATATTAGTCTATTAAGAGGCAGTGTCTACCCAAAAGTAAAACAAATCTATTAGTGAAACATTCAAGAATTTTTTTTCTTTCACTATGTGTTCTGTACAGCTCGTTGAACTGGGTGAAATCTGAAAGTACGAAACATTGAAACCTTTTCGTTCTCGGGTGGTATTGCTCGCAAGAGGAACAAAATCGTATGGGGTCATAACCAAAAATTTCGAATTCTGCTACTAAGAAAAACGAAAGAGTGCAGCGTCGCCTTCGGTGGAAGCTACTCTGTTTGACCTTGTTGTTCTGATAAGATTCTCAGCGATTGAATGTACTATCTTTCGTCGAAGGACACCAACATTTTGTGCATCTTTGTCCGCTGTTCAACGTGAAAAGGAATTTCAATGTAAATCAAATTCTTTTGATTTGATTGTCCATGGTCTTTGGCCACAATCAAAGGCAGCCACGTCTATTCGAGCACATCCTCGAAATTGTCGAGATGATAAACAACTGAATTCAACATTTGTTCGCAAATATTATTGTATGATGCCAGATGAAGATTTGATGCAGGCAGAATGGGAAAAACATGGTAAGTGAAGAAGAATTCCGAGAGCATGGGTTTTAATTTCCGCTCTTCTTTCAAAGGTACATGTTATTATAAAACACCTCAAGAGTACTACAACACAATCGAACAATTGTTCTATCTTTTGAACATACCTGATTTGAAATATCTTCTTCAAAACAAGAACGTCTCATGGTCAACAATTCGCAATGCCTTCCTTCAATTGAATCCTGGAATGTATTCAACTGGCATTAGTATTCAAATGACACCGGATAATAAACTGGAAGAAATTAAAATTTGCTATGATTTAAAATTAAATTTTGCTAAATGTAAACAATAGAGAAAAAAGAGTTGTCTTAAATAAAGGCTATAGGTCTTTGAGGCATGAAGAGTGTTTTTCTGTGTATGTACGATGGTGGATGATCTCAGCTGGCGATTCAGTGTTAGCGACAACTATCACCATAGCCATCGCTGACTTAAAAAAAACCATAGAGTTTCATTCATTGCTTTTGCATTCAATAGTGGGTAAGTACGAACATTCTAGTTTTTCGCTCTTTGGTGTGAGCTCTCGTCCTAGCAGAGACCGGGATCGTCTCTGCTGTCTCCTAGCCAGGAGCCTCGAGCAGCGATCATCGAGATCGAGTGCCTCACATTCAGCATATATTTTAAAGGATCAACTCGACTAGTTTGTTTGAGATAGACGGTTGAGGGCTTTCTTCGTACCTGTAGCCGATTTCTGAACAACTCTAGATCATTTGCTGATCTGTTTCAGCCTGAAGTGCTCAATTTCTCGTGAGCATCGGGCTGTAACAAAGAGCAAGTTACTGAGCTAATTTCTGATACATGTTTTATGATAAATATTTTAATTAATTAATTTTATTAATAAATTATGTAACCATCAATTTAAATCTTTATCACTTATAGTTAAGACTAAATATTCAACTTGTTGAAAAATTCGAACAAATGGTCCAATATAATCAAAATGTAAATTATTTAAAATCTTTAGTCGTTTTATTTCTAAAGATTTTAGTTTATCACACAGTAAAATTTTTTCATACAGATCAAAATTCATTAAAAAGAGAACAATTAATCTGACATTGGTTCTAAGATCTACGACAAAAAAGAAATACGATAAATAGAACTTTTGGAGAGGAAAGTATTTCAGGCCCTCAGAGTGCGCAAAAAGGATATATATTAGAGTGCAGAAACTGTTAGGTAAAGTTTTTAAAAAGTAACAAAGAAAATGAATAGATGGCCGAACAACTTGTTCCTTGAAAGTGATAATCCCTAAAAGGGCTTGAAATAAAACGCATTTTTCATCAAATCGAATACTTTAATTCCAGTGAAATTGTCGTTGGCTCCTATATTTCATTTATTTAGAGGATTTTGATTACCCGACCTTCAGAAAAAACTGTGTAAGGTTAACCCTTTGAACTTATTTTTTTCTATTGAAAACTGAAAAAAAATATACCAGATATTTCTTGATTCTCAGTCTATCAGAATCAACCCCAAAACCTAGTAAACCTTTTCCAGTTCCGAAAACGAAAAGTTTTTGAAGATCTGAGCATGATTTCCAGAGAGCCTACGGAATTCAAACTCACTATTAAATTTTTATTTTGTTAGATATCTCGAGCATTTCTGGACAAAAGAAATCCGGTAAAACAGCTTCTAGGGCTATAAAACCCTTCGAGCTTTCAGTAAATATGGCAGAAAAATGACTGAGATTTATCAATACTAACTCAATAGGTTTATGCCACTGTTACCGGAGCGCTTATTTGCTCCCGGAGTCGATGATGATCAGTACTGTTTCTTAAAAAGTCTTTTTAAAAATTTAATCAGCAGCAATTTACAGTCAAAAATGAGGAACTGAAACACAGACTGTATTGTAGGAGTATATGTCAGTAGAGTTTCATGCTCTTTTTGAATCAAATAATATCCCGATCAGGATATAGTAAAAAACAGATATCCCAATCGTGATAATCCCAACCGTGTTCGGAATGATTTTTCCAGGGGGCGACAGGATCCATTACATACTTTTAGTGATACTGTTCATTGAATATAGTCAAACCTTCTCGGCTTTTAGTCTTGTATAAGTGGGTGGAACTATGCGGAAGTACCCTCTGGATATGAGGCGATATATCCTGAAATATTCAGTTAAAGTCACGCTCGTCCACCGTGATTCGTCGTCCGTGCAAGGAAATAAACAACGTTGTTTAAAAAAACGTTTTCTGCGCTTGAATCATTCAAGTTCTGGCGGCTGATATGTTATGTTCTACATCATCCTTGCACTACAAGTGCCACATTAACTAGTTTTTGGCGGCTTTAGACTACAGTCCTACTGTAAGAAAACTATGTTCCGATTGGGCTGTAATATCCGGATCGCGATACATTTTTATATCCCAATTCGGATATATGGCTCGATTGGGATATATATCCTGATCGAGATATGGGTTCTCACTATATGTGTACGTTGACGGACAATGGGAAGGGAAAAAAAACGTATGTAGAACAATGAATATACAATACTCCGCAGAACTAAGGACATCCATTAGAGAACCATGAGAGCTACGGACTTTTAATTTTATGTAGGCCTAGCGCTCACTGAATGCTGATCGCCCCACCAGTATCGGTCTCTTTGACCGGATGGTTCGAAGAAAATTAGAGCTCCTTCGAGAAAAAAATCCACAACCCAGTCTAGGAGCTTCAATTTGACTTCAAATTCGCACCAAAGACTACAGTATCTGATGACTATTTAGTCACGGTACGAAGGTTAACTGTTGTGTGGTTCTGGAAACTCACTCGGAACAAGCACCACACTTGAAACATACGTAGAAGGACAAGGATGACGCACTAAGGATGGTCATTTCTACTATAGAATCTGCATTCAACGTAGATCATAATCACGGAAACCTTTGCTTGCGAAAACGTATGTAAAACGTTTGTCAGAAAGATTACATACTTATCTCTAACACTCGCCAGTAGGCATGCACCGATTTCTAACTGATTGAAATTGTGCACTGTTTTCGCAAAACGTTTTTCTGAGCGAAAATTGATTCTCTAAAACTCTAGGGCTCTTCATCAGAAAACGATTGCTGCATTTTTCGTTTCAGTGTGTGAAGAAGGTTCAACAAGAACCGTTAATAAAAACGGCATTTTTGTCACACTCAACGGAACTTTTGTCACATTCACAAAAAACAGATCGAAATTCACGAGAACTTACGGCACCATGCTTTTCGCATTTAGTCACACGTGACGAAGGCAATCCTACAGTATGTTAAAGAGCGATTCATTTGCTAACTTAGAAGAAAGAACGAAAAGTTTCATCAAGATCTTATACAAAATTTTGATTAACAAAAATAAGATGTCGTTTTAGTTTTAATGCCATTGACTGAAGTTATTGTTCTTGGCAATTCCAAACTAAGTATTACGAGTGATGATGTATCTGTGTTATTATCATTATTCATGAGTATTTTTCACATTTTGGAAGTACATAGAAATATTATCATCCGAATTAGTAAATAGAATGAACGCATCCCTATAAAGAGACACTTACAGTCTATCTTCGAGCTAGTTATATGATGTTTGTATATTACATGGCAACTGTCGACTGTAGCACTTTACCTCTCCTTGCTTGACTGTATGGTTCGTGAAATATAAGGATTTCACTTCGTTTTCGTACCATACTCATATCTTCTGATCCAAGGGAGACGAACAATTTCTTTTTGCACTAAAATAAAGCCATGACTCTCGTGTAAGTACCTTACAAATTTAAAATATAGACTCTTAATGGTTACTAAATCCAGCGATTTTATCATCGAGGGCCATTTTTGAAAATCATCGAGGGTTTTCTTGAAAGTCGAGGTATATAAACGACACATCCACAATTACTAGGTATATGTTTGTCGTACACCTTAATGGTATTTTTCCTCTCTCTTTTGCCTTTATTGGAAAATGTGAAGATCAATGTGCCGTCGACCTGAAATTTTTGTATTAAATTTTGACGGGAGGATAACACCAAGAACTACAGAAAACGGCCGAGAGGATCCTTTCATCAATTCAGACTTCGACAACTATCTCGAACTCATTGCTAGATGATATTATGTTATCGGATGTTAATTTTTGTAATTAAATTGGTCAGTTTGATCCACCTATTAACATTGATTTAGTAATTAATAAGATACCAGTGAATTCGTACCGAATATCTGCAGGCAATAGTGAATTACCTGAAACATCTAGTTTTATGGGTATAGCTGACCTTTATAGAAAAAAGTTGAGATATTAGTGACAAATAAACAACTCGTTTATTTTGTTTCGAAGTATTATTCACGTTGAATTTAGTAGCTGATAAATATTGAGTTTCCACATTAAATCTGAAGTATTCACACGCGCAGCTGATTCGAAATCAGTGTTGGTCATTGCTGAGTTGACACATCATCATCTTGAGTGCCGTCACTGTCATCATCATTACCATTTGATTCGTCAGTCTGCAACATGATCACCTTTAAGTTTGGAACATTGTCTGGTGTATAAACGTTTTTAGTTGTACGATATAAAACTGACAGAACAACTTGTGCCTTCAAAATAGATTCTTGTAGTTCAGCTAATGATAAGTGATAAACATTTTTTATCTCTTCAAACTTGAATGCAATCACAGCCTTAATCGCTTCAGCACCGTCATACGGCAGCATTTTAAAATCTTGTCGACCACTCGTAAAATGGTACATTCCACCTCTCAAACGCTGCACCAAGTGTAATGTAGACTCCTTTTGTATGTTGTACTTTTCAAGAGTTATGTCATCTTCTAGCTGCTTGCCAGCAAATACGAGACGCTGTTGATCCGGAGGAATACCTTCCTTATCTTGTATTAGTTTCTTTACAGTGGCCACAGTCATGAGGGAAGTACAAATTACCCATGTTGTTTTTCCAGTTAAAGTTTTAATAAATATCTGGAAATCAGTGTCGGAAGACGGAGCTGGAGTCTTAGACTTCTCTAAAGAAAACAAAATTTGATGAGTTTAGAGAAGAAGTATCTTGATTTGACGATGATGCGTGCCAGTTTACCTTTTTTTCGGTGACTTTTGCCATTAAGACACAGTTATTCTCATATAATTTGGATGACATAACTGTATCATCACATTTTAGTGTTTTACCTTTGTCCCAATCGCTGTTATTCAATTCACCACATTGATTTAAAGTACATGACTTTAACTCTACATTAGTACATCGCTTATTTATCTGCAACCTAATTTTTTCCATATTATCCATTAACATATGATTTATTACAAATTTATTTAGAGTTGAATCTTCATAACTTCCGAACCAAACAGTCACTTCACCGTCGGCAACAAATCGACGCCCACTTAAATTTATATATTCAGATACACTCGATCTTAATTCACAATCGGTTAGCGGTGCGATAACACCATGATCCATAGTACCAACTTGTATCCAGCGTTGTAAATATTTTGGCACATAATCTTTCTTATATTTTCTAATTATTTTACTGATCATTTCATGGTTCATGTGTTTATTGATCATTTGATTTCCATATGGATCAACAAACGTTAATGCATGAAATTTCAATTGATCTCGCTCTTTAATTTCATTCTCTAATCGAGTATTAAGCAGATTTTCGATTTCCGCTATTTGATATTGAACCGCTTGAACTTGGGAGATTAAGTCATCATAAACAAAGGAAGTTGGTACCGCTGGAATGGCAGCAACAGTTGCCATGATATATGTTCTTGATCAAGCGATAGTCTAAAAAGAAACATAGTGTGTTAATGTAAATTAATCACAATACGTGATGCGGTTTCGGCATTGTCCTGTTAGGATTGATCGTATGAATCGCTATATTTGTAATCGTGTCAAATCATGAAATATGTGTGCTCTACTCACGAAGGAACCCTTCTAGCTGTTCTCATCCAATGGTTTGTACATGGATCGATAGACAGCAGCGAGATAGTAAATACCCTAGAAGGATTAGTGCCCATGACTCTTGAAGAACCAGTTTTCTGGAAAGCCAGTTTTCCAAGAACTCTAAAGAATAACCAAAACCTCTTTTTAATGAGGCATAATTGTAGCCCGTAAATTTCTGATTAAAATGAATCTCCCAGCTCTCAGCTCTACACGACCTTTCTTTGCAAAGTTATAGAATTTACAAGAAAAGCCCTAAATTAATTCCTTTTTATTTCTGTACCTTTGATCGGGCGATGAATATTTAGGGCTTTTTTTGTAAATTATATAATTTTGCAAAGAAAGGACCTGTAGAGCTGGGAGATGTCTCATTTTAATCAGAGATTTGCGGACTACAATCATGTTTCATTTAAAAAGGTTTTGGTTATTTTTTAGAGTTCTTGAAAAACTGGTTTTCAAGCAAACCGGGTCTTCAAGAGTCATGGGCACTAATCCTTTTAGGGTATTTACTACCTCACTGAAGTCTATCGATCCATGTACAGATCATTGGAATCGAAAGAGGACATCTCCAAAGGTTCCCTCGTCAAGACATCTTTTTCCCGTTATCTCTCAATCGGTACGCAATTCTTTTTTGAAAATCTTCTCTTTCCACCCTTTCATTTCGTGTATAACAAAAACATTCACGTGTAATTACTCTATTAAGTGTAAAAGCGCTTAAAAAAAGCCGACCGAGGTTGAGTGAGAGAACCATAGCAACTTTTTCAGTCATTCGGAGGATGCGCGCCCTCTTGCTATTTGCGGAGTGCTCCTTTATGAGTGAAACAAGGCGGGACAAAACCTATCATACCGATTTCTAGAACAACAAATTCTGATCAAGAAGGAGAAAACTAACGATAATTGAAACGTAAAAACATACAAACGTCTGATTAAGACCTTTTTGCCCTTCTAAACGATCTTCCCTTTTTCGTAGCGCTTCTCCGTGTGATTATGCAAGATGGCAATGTGATCTACACTCGAATACTTCCTACACAATCGATGGATAGCCATATGGAGTCGAAGTCAAAAATCAATCTTCCTAGCGCCTTCCAGATTTGACCGAAACTGTGCATATCGTGTCTGTATATCCACTATTTTCCCTTGACTTTAGTCTAGGGCCTTACAAACTGGTTGTCTGCCTGTGTGTCTGTGTGTGCGCAAAATACGGAAACATGCCTATCAGATATTCTATGGATAAGCGAATCACAAGAGAGAGAAGTAGAAAATTATTTTTTTCAGAAGGCAGAAAATATTCAAAATGGTGATCTGAAATATCCACCGCTGCAGAGAGACAAAAAGTTAAGCAAACGTTTTCGGTAGGCCGGGGATAGAGGTCGCCAGTTCCAATCTCCTTAAGATCCGTAAAGGGTGTTCAGAAAACCTTTTAGCTTTATTTACATTCAAAGTCAATTTTTTATAAGTAAAAACCAACAACAGACATAAAAAGATGTTTTTTCCATGGAAGC